TGTAAGAAGAGAGAAGGGCATTAAGCTGTAGAAACTTACTAACCAATCAGAGAACTTTTCACAACCATTCTTGCGTTTCTAACCTATGGGATTGATTTTTAATTTGTCTTTTTAGACAAGTGCTTTTTCCCTCCCGTTTTCAGTTTTCTTCAAACTATTTGTAAAACTTCGTCTAAGAGGGGGCTTGTTTATATTTACTTGAAATTTTATTTCTACAGTGAAAGTTTTTTTAAATTTACATACAAAAACAAGTACATGTACAACTTAACTCAGCAAGTACTTTTTTTTAGTTTTTAACTCTATCATACTCTTTGTGTATGTAATGAATGAGTTAAAATACTGATAGATAAAGAGCAAATGAAGCTGGTTGTTTTTGCAAAGTAAAATGGCAGTTGGATGAATGATTTAGGGATCGTTTATAAAAAGCTATAAAATAAAATTCACTTTAATACTAAAGTTCCTTTTAATATTTTGAATAGGAAGCATTTGTAAAAGAGATCTGGTTCTGTGGATTATTTATTTATTTAATTAGTTTATAAAAAATAATATTTTACACAGCAGGGGCTTAACACCCCCAACTGTTAAAAAGAAAATAAAAAAACCAAATAATATTGATCTGATTACTAAAATCCATGTTTGAATTCATATAACATTACACAGATACAGTTTAAATTGAAAACAAAAGTTATTAATTTGTAGAAATAGGTTTAAACATTTTTAAATATAGTTTTGATAATGAAATCCCAGAAGAAGCTGATATTGAAGCCATGGAATGGATCTGTCAGAATTGCCTACAACCTATGTGAAAATATATGCATTGAACATACTGGAGCTAATTGCCCCCATTTTGTTAAATTTAACTTTTTAACCTTTTTTTTTTACTATATGGCTTTAAATTTTTCTCATTAAAGCTTTTGTACTTCAAGAAAGATGTGTGATCTGTTATTTAAAAACATTTTCATTTTGAATTTAATAATATTTAGTTATTTCAAAGAGAAAAACAAAAAGTTCTTGAAAACATGGTGCTTAATGCCCTCCATTACCCTATTGAAAGAATCAGTCGATCCATAAGTTTGTTTATTCAGTCAATGTGTGGTCCATTTTCCCCCACTTTTTTCAGTCTCAGACCAAAGGCATTATTCTTACGGTTAAAGTAAGGTACAAATAATAGTCAAGGCAGATTCAGAGGCATCAGCTTACAGTGGGATCATTAGATGAAGTACAGGCTCTTTGGGAGGCTCGTAACATCTTGCTGCATGTCTGGCCAAAGCAGGGAACATCAGTAGAATAAAAGAGAGAGATCCGCAAGGCTTAGAGACGCACAAGGGCAGACTTTGAATTTGAAGGAATTAACACACCCCCCCCCCCCCGTTGTTAACCTTGTCTATTTACTTTAAAAATCTTAATAAACATTTAAAAAAAAAAAATGAAAAACATCATTTAATTCTAAAAGTCAGCAGAAATTATATTAGCCATTTAAAATAAAATATGTATTTATTTGTACAAACATGATCAGATCATAATACATTGTTAGATTTGTAAAAAACAATTGCAAAAAAAGATTTAGCATGTAAAACAACCAAAATTTTAATAGGTGAATATTAAATCTTTAAAAAAATGTAAAATTATTTTTACAAGATTATTAATTATGATATTAATAATTAAATTTTATTAACAGATTCAGTTTCAAAAGAGCATACTAGAACATAAAACAAGTATAGCCTAAATGCAGGTTTTAAAAATATTTACAATTTAAGAATGAGGAATGGAAAAGAAAGAAAAAAATCATTTGTCTAGCAAATACATTTCAATTCTTTTGATTTGGTAACCTCTTTCAATATGAAGTATCGTAACAATCAAATGATAAGTGATCATGTTCCTCATACTTACAAAAAAGACAAACCCATCAAATGATAAGTGATCATGTTCCTCATCCTTACACAAAAGACAAACCCATCAAATGATAAGTGATCATGTTCCTCATCCTTACACAAAAGACAAACCCATCAAATGATAAGTGATCATGTTCCTCATCCTTACACAAGAAACAAATGTCAAATATGAATTTTACTCCTTGACCTAAAAAATTATGATGATGTTTTAGACATTTTTAATAATAGAAAATTATCCCTTTTTATTTATGGATTGTATTTTAAGACCGCTTTTAGGTTTTAAGCTTTTCAAGGTAATGACATGTCATTTCTCTCTTTTCCATAGGTCACCATGGAGCTCCTCTGATAACACCCTACTCTTGTGGCAGTCTGCTCTGTCTGGTGACAATCTATTCTGGTATCACCCTGCTCTTGTATTTAACTGATTTCTGCTATGAAACCAAATCAAGCAAACACTGTCAAATTTATACTTTTCCATTAGTGTTACCTCCCTGAGCACAGTGAAGGTGTCACACGGTGCAGTCAGTCCGTACACACTGTACATCCCTAGTCAGACTACTGCACTTGATCAATACAAAAACAGTGCCTGCTTTTGAGTTATAGAAAATGCACCCAGATCGATTATAAAAAAACATATCATAAAATTCGTCAAAAATTCATTAATGAATTTGATAAAAAAATATTTAAGAACACTTTTCAAAAAGTCACTAGTGGTGAATGAAACATTGTCTAAGAGTAGGTTCCCCTCCGTATGGCCACAGAAGACAATGTAAGAGGCTAGAACTCCAATGCTGTCTCCTACAAGGCTGATGTGTTGTGTCAAGTCAAATAATCCCGAGACGGTTTAAAATGTCTAGTATTCTTTAATAATTTATATACTGAGTAAAACAAAGTCCACAATAATGCCTAACTAGTAAAAACTGCTTTCAAAATAGAAAAAAAAAATCTCCTCTCAACAATACTAAGATCCAATCCACTCATCAAAATACTAACTCACTCCTACACCAACACCAAAAAAAGAATTTTCACCATCGCTCACAATTACACTTTTTTCACATGGGTTTTTTTCAACACTCAGCCGCAGTCATCCGTCATAGGTCATCTGTGGAAAAGTTTTAAGGGGAAATAATAGGAAAAAAAAAACATTGTTCACTCACCTAATATTATAAACATCACGACCTGACACAGCAGAATTACATCACATAATCTGACAGTGACAATCTGTTGGTGTATCACTAACAGCCTACATGCCTATCAACAAGGAATTGATTTACCACCAAAGTGATTTCATTATTATTACTATGTGGCTGCCCAGAAATGAAATTGATAAGAACTTTTAATTCTTTTATCTGACAATAACATGGAATTATCCATGGGAGTATAAATAGTACAGATTTGAGGCTGGACAATTTAGATGTGCATGGTGTCATGGTGTTTTTAAACGCAATTGATTTTCAATTTTTATGAAACACCTCGTAAACAAAAAATTCACATTTGTCACTTTTCCTGAAGCAATAATTATTTAAATGTAGGAATTGAAGAAGTTACACAATGATACAGTAAAATTAGCGAAACAATTTTTAGAGTACAGGTGCACAAAACTAAACAAAAGGCAGTGGTATTTGACATGTTATGAAACATATCCACAGAGGTCATTCTAATGTAGCCTTGATTTTTTTTTTTTTTTCAAATAATTTTCAGAATTATCTTTTATTAATTTGGATTTTAAACACATTGTAACATAAGTAATCTTTATTTCCAGAAAAAATAAAACACAAACTGAGATACAATCATGGACAATATTTCTCAAGTTAAAGATAAATTTGGTTTTTAATATTATATTCAAATAATTTTTTTATACCGGTAATTAAAATATTAATTTTATGATTTTTAAAGTAGGATATTGTAAACATTTTTTCCATGCACTAAAAATATATAATTAAAAATATTGAAAGAAATATTGCCATTTTAAAGATGATTTAAAAAAAAAAAAAAAAAAAAAAAAAAAAAAAAAAAAGAAAAAAAACCAAAATAAAAAAAATGACTAAAAAAAACTTTAAAAAAAAAAAAAAAAAAAAAAAAATAAAAAAAAAAAAATACTAATATTAATCAACAATATTATTATTGTGATGATGATTATTATTTTTTAAATTATATACTTCCTTATGAACAGTCATTAAATTTTAGACAATGGTGACATTTCTATAAAGCTAATGACACCTGGAATTTCAACACTGATTCAACTAACTTAGATTTGAGCATAAGTCTCATAACCTTTGTAAGATTTCTTGTACTTTACAAAAATCCTGCAAATTAAACAGTTTAAAATGGGTTAACAAATTATAAAATTGACATGCTTCTTATGTTTAAATAAAAGATCATTTTAAATTATTCCACATCTCCAACATTGCTCTATTAGAACGAAAAAAAAAGGAGGGGAGGGGAGAATTAAAAATAATGTTTTAAAATGAATGAATCCATAAATTTAGGGAATATTTTGAGGTGAGATACCTTTCATGTTAATAAAACTCAAATAGTCATGCAATGTATACAAGGAAAATTAAATATTTATGACAAAATAGAATCTCCCATATTTTTGGGAACTACAAAAAACTCCTAACAAATGACTACCAGTAATTTAAAAAAATGATTGAATATGGGCTAAATTCTGGTTACTCTAGTTAATCATTCAAATTATATCATTTTATGTTGAAATTACTTTTGACACATTAATTGGAACCCTACATTTTTATTATTTACCCAACATCAGTTTAAAAAATTATAAAATAAAATACTTGATTGACATGTGCACTTGAAACTTGTTACAAACATGCTTATTATTTTGGCAGCAGTAACAGTAGATACAGGCCCGGTTTAACCATTAGGCGAACTAGGCGGCCGCCTAGGGCGGCAAATTTTTAGGGGGCGGCACTATTAATTAAATAATTAGTTGCCGTGGGCGTGGGGGGCGCAGTGCGACAGGTTCGCCTAGGGTGCCAAATACGCTGGCGCCGGCCCTGAGTAGATACTACTTTGAATAAAAACAACATAGAAAGGCCTGGCCGTAATTTTATCCAGAAACATTATGATTAAAATACGAAACAGTTACCTGATAGTTTTTGAACAAAATAGACCTGGATATGAAAAGTTTTTTCTTTTCGGGACAAAATCTCCACAAATGAAGGACTTGACCTACCAAATAATATTAAATAATGTATTAAATGTAGGTAAAAAAAAAATATATACCGCTAGTTGATACCTGCGTGAACACCAGAAAGCTGTGAGTGGTATACTAAAGTACAGATCTACTTTATATCCAAAGTAACTGAAACAACTTTAGAAACAGATTAGATAGGATTGTCAATGTTTGTACTTGTATGGTTTTTTATTTCTAAATTCACTGAAGACAAGGACATAAAGGTATAATGAACTATGAGAATCAAATTGTTGACTAAAAATTAATTGGTTAACCGTATTTATTTACCTGCTAACATATTTGAATAGACACCTTCATGATTGGCTATAAAAAAACTTCCTTGAACATAGCTGAATTGCTCAATATTGCGAGTATTTATAATTACATCTTCTGACAAAGGAAAAAACAAAGCTGATCCTGAAGGTTGCCATTCTTCAGTTTGGAAGACTGATTCATCATCTAGATGTTTCAAGTGGATAAAATTTCGCCCTGGAAAAAGAAAAAATGCTATCAGGTCACTTTGATAGTATTTCATTAAACAAAATCTCATTAACATACTAATTATGCACAGAGCCATCATGTAACTTTTGGAGGAGCCTGGCACTTTTCGGTTTTGTGCCCCCTGCATTCAAAGTTGATTGTGCACATTTTTTCCACATCACAACCTTAGGTTTAAATATCTGAGACCCATGCAGCCGGAAGGATTTCAGGACATATGTGACGGCTCTGATTGTGCTGGAAAATCTTAAAATGACTACAGTTGAATAGTTTTAATGTAACATTACTTAACCAATGACCAGCTGACAGCAAACATTGAAATTTCTTTTTGTAAAAAAAAAAGTATTATTTGCCCTTGACCTGCAGATATACTATCAAAAGAAAGAAATTGGTTCCTTAGTTTTTATATTAACATCACTGATTAAATGTGTAGCACTCACTCTTCCATTACTCACCCCTCTCTTGACTGGAAAAGGGTTCTTTACGTTTGAATATATTCTAAAGGCAAGGTAGAGAATGGGTTGTGAGATGCAAATTCTAGAATTTCTTTTCTGGAGAGGGTTTCCAACTTTCTCCATATAAATAAATAAGCTGGCAAGGAGAGATTTGCTAGACACAAGATTTACTAGACTAAATATACCTATAGGAGTCTTAAAAGAATTTACACTTATGTGTGTGTATACAGTATATTAATATTTTATCTTTCGAGGATCGTACTTATCTCACTTTTGTCTAATATATTTTTTTTCTATATATTTGATTTTGTATTTTTATAAAAATTTAATAGTATAATTATATTGACTATTGTTAATATCACTAGCTTTGTTATTTGGTATAGTTTTTCTTTGTAAACTGGTTTTCATTTCTTTGTTGCATATTGTTCATCTAACAAGACAAATCTTCAAACAGATTAAATTTGCAAAAACCATATAACAGTATGTAACATTAAAAAGCAATACCGGCATATGATGATGAATAGTTAGGCTCATTACGGGAGGCCAAAGCCTTATTCATTAGAACCTAGACTATAAAATTACAAGCAAAGGTGATCTCTGTCTTACTATAAGCTATTGATTTTCATACTTTTAAGATGTGTGATTCCTTTGAAGTGTTGCAAATTTAATGTAAATAAAAAGTTCATTACCTTTTTTTTTTAAAAAAAAAAAATGGTTAAATAGTTCTTTTGATGAAATTATGTCCCTTTGTTGTTGTTTTAATCCAAACAAAAGCCATAGACAAGAGCAGGTGATAACTATATGAGAGTTATCCACTTAAGTTGAGTATTAAGTAATTTCACCACAACATGCTAGATAGCACATTGCGCATAGAGATACAATTTTTAGTGCTTTATAATAAACAATTATATTCTACTAACTTTTAAAATTTCCCTGAGACATACATACGTACATATCTTTAAAAAATAAAAATATCATCCCAAGTCAAATATTGTAATTTTAAGAGTTTGCACCACAATTCGATGAATTGGCTGTTAAAGTGTCTATGTACTTTTTTGTCAATGAAGTATTCATGCCATCTATGTCAATACCCTTTTTTCTAGATCATGTGTCTTTCAATAAAATGTTTTGTAGATGAAGTGTCTGGAAAAGTGTATTTGTCGATGAAGTGGTTTCAATGAAGTGTCTTTTGATGAAGCATTATGGAACCAAACAAAACATCATAGTAAAGAGGCATTGCAGCCTGGTCCAAGAAGCTCTAGCACATTTGTTGACCGCATACTCCTTACTAGATGTTTCAGTGGAGGCCAGGGTGACGGGAGAGCCCAACGTGAGCAAAATGTTATATGGCACAAGTCAGCAGATGGAGTTGATTGCCAATGTACTAGTCGGGGTCATAAGAGAGCAATCACAGATCCTCACCACAATATGTGCGTAGTGAGTAAAGAGTCACATAAAAGCCAAATATCTCCACAAAAATTCATTTTTAAAACTTTCTTGTTTAAAACACATTTTTTGCACAACAATTTAGTTTCCAAGGCCAATATTGCTTACCTGAAATATGTGCCTGCAATTGTCCACAGCCACTATTAGTATTATCAGATCTCATAACAGAAACATTTTTCCTTCCATCGATCAAACTGTTAGTAGAGTCGTAGCTTTCACACAGTCTTCTTTTCTTCTGGGCAATCTGACCAGACGAGACTTCACCAAATGCAGGATGAATATTTTGTGCACAAAAGTACATGTTTGCTTTAAAAATTTAAAGCTTTGAACATTAAAAATATTAATCTAAACAATTATCATAACTACTTAATTTCACATTATCTGGGGATGAGCAAAAGAAGAAATTATGAGAAACAAAATTTTAATATTTACAGTAAATAAAAAAATAATAAAAATTATTTAAATACAGCTGATGTCGGAGACTATTTCTCACTTTACTAAACTAGAAAAGAAAAGGTTGATTTTAAAGCATTACATGTAATTTTAATAAACTTTAGAATATTCATGATAATTAACTTGACTTATTCATATTGTGAGTCCCATATTCTTACAAAGACAAAACTTTTTTAACTGTGACAATTTTAACACAGGACTTCCAAAGTATTTCTTATGCACAAATATCAGCTATCGCATGCCAAGGAATTTTACTGGCAAGGTAACAATATTGTCTTAAATAGTAACTATTTAGATTTTGTAACAGCCTGGAGAGCCCGCTGGTAAATTCTGATGGATTGGGGAATAAATGAATTTTTATATCCACTAAAAAATCCATACTAAGGTAGTTTATTTTGTGTGATATTAGGAGTCGTTCGCAAATTACATCATGCTCGGGGGGAGGCAAGAATTTATGACACTTTGTGACTGGGAGGGGGGGGGGGGGCGCCAAAAAATTTGTGACGTCACTTTTTTAAAATAAAATCTAAAATTTTCTACGTTTGAAAAATCTTTATTGAATTAATTTTAAAAACATTAATTTGAGGTCCAAATAGCCTCAGGTATTATAGGTACTATGAAACTCAGTCGCTCACACCTTTTGTGCACATGGAAAAATGAAGCAAAAACTATTGTTGCCATTTTACATTCAGCTTGTGGATGACTTTGTTCTTTCATGTCACAGTTTTCTTATAATACTACATCCATTATGGGAAAATTTTAAAGAATAAAATAAAATCTTAGTACTTAGTTAATTTATGAAAATTTTATGTATGTTTTGATTTTTTTAGGCGTGACATGACACGGAGGGTGGGGTGGGGTGGTGTAAAGAATTCGTAACACTTCGTGACCGGTGGGGGGGTGGGGGGTGGGGGGGGGGTAAGAGTCTAAAAAGGACATTTTTTGCATGACGTAATTTACGAACAACTCCTTACTTGCTTTCTTGATAATTCTATTTAATCTGTGTTTGATGAGAAAAGAAAAATTCCCACACCAGCAGATAATACTAATATTGAAGTTCATTAGGCTTTCAATTATTGATAAATAGAATAAGTTATAAATATTTTGTTAAAAATGAAATTGTATAATTTTAAAGAAAGAAAATTCCTTGGTTAACTTTTGTATTCAGAATTAGGCTGTGGTCATGCCATGTTACCTTATTATTAATGGTAACATCTAGGTAATTATATGTCTATTCTTCTTTATCCTGTGATTTTTTTGCTTAGATCTGCAGTTTAGTGAGTTCCCCTTTGGGTTAGGGTTAGGACTTGGTGGAATCAAATGACATTGACGGATCACAATATTGTGGCATGGGTATTGATAATTTGAAAGTGTAAATCTGACATTGAAATTATTATTCGTATATACTATAAGTTAAGATATGACCAGATGTTATCGGGATAACAATGGTAGGCATTTTGCGATACTTTCTAGCTGCTATTGCGAAGTCTTGATACCGTACCAAACAATCCAATTTTTATGTATATAATTGAAACAGTTTTTAATGTTTTGTATATTCATAATACAAAAAAAAAAAAAAAGACATTAATATGATTAACCTCATAGAAATAAACATACACTTTTCCCTGAACTTTACTTTTGGCAAATGTGGAAACAAAAATATATTTTCTTTTTTTAAAGAAAATCTTAGGCTATCTTTGTTCAAGCCCATGAACTGTAACTGTAAGGAAAAACAAATATGTCTCTATTTTTGAGATTAAATTTTTATGTGTGTAAAATGATGGGGTTTTGAAATGTTTTTTGACATATGCCATATGTTATGGGTATTCTTATGTAAATGTTTGTCAACGCAATTGAACTATATTTTCTTAATTGGTATAGCATATATTTATTTTTAAAATCAAATGTAGCACCTCTTTTTCACAGTTGTAATATCATTGGAATTAAAGATATTGTAATCCACATAAAAATATACAACATATAAAATTCACTCCTTCATTCTTAGTCATATCTTGTGCTGCCTGGGGCAAAAGAACAGATCAAATCCCCCTCCCCACAGTTTTTAATAAACTATAAACATTAATAAAATCATCCCGGGGATGACAGCCACCCAAGGTTGTTGACCACAATTTTTTTTTTCTTGCCCCTGAACTTTATTAAAATGCCAAAGTCCTGGTACTCTTTTACCACACATTGTTTTACATCTTTTAGGTATGGACAATGAATGCCCTTTAGGAAATAGTTAGTCAGACTTTCCTTGTTTTAAAAATAATTATTTATGAATTGTTCTTAAGTTTCTAACATCACTGCCCTTCACATAAATATAAAATTAAAAATTACTTTTTAAAAATTAAATTAGCAATTACAGAAAATTATACTATTTAAAACAACAACTTATGACTATATTGGTAAAAAGCTTAACCTCACCCACCCAAGTACTATCTACCTCTGTCTAGCCATGGACAGCACCCAGCAGCATCGAGCGTTGTTAATCAGATTGGGGTGGGGGGGGGGGGTGAAAAATGGGTCGGTATTTGAAGACATGGGTCTTGAGGGCAGTTTTGAATTTGAAGGAAGGGTAGGGGTGAACTGGGTGAATTAGCCTATATTATGAATATATATTTCAAAATAAAAAGGGGGGGGGGGGGGGGGGGGGGGGGGTGAAAAATGAGTCGGTATTTGAAGACATGGGTCTTGAGAGCAGTTTTGAATTTGAAGGCAGGGTAAGGGTGAACTGGGTGAATTAGCCTATATTATGAATATATATTTCAAAATAAAACTGAAAGGTTTTCATGAGATATTATGTGTCAACATATATTTCGTTATCACACTTTATGCTTGTGTCCACAGGCCTTCGAATTTGTTAAATTAGTCCTACGGTAGTATTTCACTTCCAGAAGCTACACTATAAAAGCTGAAAACGAAACAAGGTATAAATATACCAGATTTTTTATTACACATGGTTATAATTAGAATAATAATAAATAAAAAAAATATTATTGACTCATTAAAGAAAATTATCTTAAATATACAATAATAAATTATTTCTATATGTTTGAAAAATTATAAATAATGTCAAAGTCTGGTAGTACATTTTTTACCAATGGAATCAGTCCTCAGGTGTGTTGAAAAAACTGCGAGACAGAATTACAATTTGGCAAACGGATATCAAATTATAAATTTCGTAAACATTTACAATCAGCATGGATTTACTAGGTTCGGATTCTGAGGATGAAAAAGATATTAAATTTACAATTAATGAAAACTATGCTAAAAACTACGATACGTGGCGCAAAAAAGAAGAAAAGCAAAAGTGTAAGATTTGTGAACGTTTTGTTTTTAAATTTGCTGCTTAAGTAAAAGGTCGCCAATATTAGGAATTCAATTATTAGTTATTATTAGTTCATTAGTAATTTTGGCTTACCGTAATTTTAATTAGTTAATAATTAGGCTTAGGCTTAGACATTATTAGATTATTAGTGTTAGACTGTTTAGTGATAAAGCTAGGCTAGGGTGACCAAATCATGAACTGGAAAAAACGGGGCACCCAAAGCCAAAGAGGGTTGTTTGGGGGGATACCCCCACTTAAAGAGGGGTTGGGGGCCTCCGCTGGACACTGTTTATTGAAATATGTTAATTTTAACTATTTTGATACCTAGAAATCTTTTAAATTTACCTTCACTTCATTATTTGTAGTGGTAGTGGAATCAAAATTGGTTTCTGCGCAGTTATGCGCGCCCCCCCACCCCGCGGCTTCAAGTCTTGTGTCTTTTGCTATACATATAAGAGCTATGGCAGGGACACTGTCGTTTATGAGTTTATGCAGCGTTGGCAGAGTGGTGGAGAGGGAACAGTGCAGCCATCACACGAGCCCACATCACTACTGGCACTGGCTACACAGCTAGCCAAAATATTACTTGAAATTATATTATAAATCAGGAAGTTTTATTGATTTGAAATGTGTTTGGTTTTAAATATGGATCTTTTAGGCGTACCGACAGACTTTTTCGGGACACTGGGTACGATCGTGAAAAAACGGGACAATCCCGTTTTTACAGGACGTTTGGTCACCTTAGCTTAGGCAGGCACGGCTTATCTACTATGACTACACAACTACAGGACTGTCATGGGAAAATATTAAATGGATAGTGATAGAGTCCTAGCTTTATAGCAAACTTTTCACTCAAACCTTGGTTATCCTTTTTATTTTAAACTTTTAACCTGAATGCTTTTTTTCAGTGCTAGACAGATATGGAAATGCAGAAAATACAAGTTCCTCATCTGAAGATGAAGAAATTGTGAGTCATTCATGCTTATTTTAATGAAGTTAATTTATTATATTATTTATTGGACTACAGTAATGAGTAATTGTTGTTTAAGCTACTGTGTCATTGTTGGTGGGAAATTGGAAGTTATAAAACATCATTTAAGAAACAGTTTAAAACTTTTTTCTTTAAATAGATTGTAGGACATCAGAGCGCTGTGAGCATGCTATAAAAGTATTCAATTAATAAATCAAACTTGTAATATATAAAGTAACCTGTTTTTAATATATTCATTTTTTTCTTTAGCGATCAACCCCACAAATGGATAAAGATTGGCTGCGTGCCTATGCTGTCATTAGATTTCAACAGCCAAGACTCTACAAGAAAGGGGAACATTTCTTTAGCGGTAAATTACATTTATTCAGTAAAACAATTAAAATGTTACAGGCAAAGTGTAAAATCTGTTCATTCCATAGATTGCCTAAGCATTGAATAGAATGTCTGATTTTAGTCAAAGTATGAAATAAAATAGACAGTCTATACAAATCAGAGGCATTCTCAGAGATTCCAGCCTGGACCTAGATGAAGAATATTGTTAGATACAAAGATATTGGACTTTTTATAAACAAATAAAGAAACAGCAGGGAGCAAAAAAATTAGTACAAAACAACTGTCAGAACTGTCACACTTTGGATGTAACATTTGCATCAACTTGGTATTGAACGCAGGCTAAAAATAATTTTTACAGGGATCAAAATGAGTTTTTCTTTTTTTTAACATATACATTTTTTAAATGATAAAAAGGTATTATCAGCTGCAAAAAAAATATGTCAAATTTATTGAAAAACCAACATGTGCCTTCCAGTTTTAAATTGTTACTGTGATCCAGTTATAAGTCATATTTTTTTTTAGGGAAGCTCTGTCCCACAGTATTTTTATGTATTCTGTCTACGTATTACTCCAAAAAGTGAATAAATAGTTAATTGAAGATCTGCAATTTCTATGTATGTTCGCTTCTTTGAATATTTTTAGAGGAAGCAAAGCCAATGAGTAAAAAGAAGGAAAAGGCTACAACACTAAAGGATCATGAAAGACGTTTCATGCTTGAAAAAGGAGGGCAAGTAAAAATAACATGTTTTTCCATAGGAGTTATAACCCTCAGATTATAATCTGATTGAAATGCTTGTGTCTTTTTTTTTGGCCCCTACTGTACACATTCAAGGAACAATTTTAGTTTTTCTTAGCATTCACAATAATCTTATTTTTTGAAAATTGTGAAAATTATGTTAATTTAAATAAACATACAGAGATCATAGCTATTAAATGATGCATGAAATAATAGTTAAAATTATCCTGTTGGGAAGTAAGTAATTCAGTCTGTTTTAGGTAGGGTGATATGATTTCGATTTAGTCTTAGAATACGTCCTAAACGATATCAATTCTTGAAAGTGAGTCATAATACAACAAATTGTTAAAATCAAACGCATCTAAAAGTTAAGCAGATCAGTCACATAAAAAGCTAATCTGGTTAATTACGATTTTTATGTTTTTTAAAAAAAAACAACAGAACACCAGGATCAAAACTGCTAGAAAGTTGAATACATGTCAATAGCTGGATGGTAGAACAGAGTTGTTTTTTTCTGAATAGTTAGGCTTAAATGTTTCCCAAGAAGATATTAGTCCTTCTGGCCCCTCTGCTTTACAACAGTGGGGAGATATTAGTTCTTCTGGTCCCTCTGCTTTACAACAGTGGGAAGATATTAGTTCTTCTGGTCCTTCTGCTTTACAACATTGGGAAGATATTAGTTCCTCTGGCCCCTCTGCTTTACAACAATGGGAAAATATTAGTTCTTCTGGTCCTTCTGCTTTACAACATTGGGAAGATATTAGTTCTTCTGGTCTTTTTGCTTTACAACAGACAATATTTATATATTTATTTATATTTCTTTTCTAGACTAGAAAGTGATGATGATTCAAAACCCAAGCAGGCACTTGGGAAAAGTTATTTTGAAGAACAAGAAGAAATAAAAAAGAGGTAAGTGATCCGCTGAATAATCCTTTAGAAACATTAAAATTTCATTTTACATTTTAAACAATGGATATGTTGATCAGGAAGACAGTGCATTCACTGCTTTCTTCACTTTTGTCACTGAAATTACAGTTTCAAGATTGCAGTACAAGATTCTAGTGATGAAGATGATGGGCTGCTGGTGAAAAAACAAAAAACTTTAGAAGAGCAGGTAGGATTGCTTTATTTTTTTCTGTACTGTCTGACCCAATAGAAGTGCATTTGCTTTAAAACCACGAAGTAGCAGGGGCATATAAACCTAGTGTCATTTGCAGCTATGGTTAAACAAACAGTCCTTTGGTACCAATGTGAGGTGGAACCCCTGAGGAAAAATACTCAGCCTTCAAAGAGGCAGCAGTTATTGTACTACCTGTTAACATAATAAGATGTAAGCAACAAACAAAAAGGGCTGTGGTGTAATATGAAACATTGTCCTGGATTTTTTTTTTCTTCAGAAAGTAGATGATGATGAACTCTACTTCATCTGTAGTTGTTTGATTATTTATAAAGCACATTCTGATCACTGGAGCTGTTGGCATAAATTTAAGGAGAATAGATTTAACACTATTATGCTCATATTAAATTATGGACACACAATACAATGTGGTGAACGTCTCCATGCAAATGAAATAGAGGCAGAGGGAAAGTCTCAGCTTTCTTATAGTTATATATTTCTGATGGGAGAAAGTTCGAGATACAGCATGACACAAATGGAAGGACAAGACATTTTTAGGAAGGATCCTAAATGTTCACACTCTTCAATCTAAGGAGGGTTGGGGGTGGGGGGCATCACTCACAGGTGAAGGCAAGGAAAAAAAATCTACTCTTGTGTCATCAAATATCGCTCACTGTGCCAAAGGGGGGATAATTTAAGGCAAGGGTAGGTAACATCTAAATAGATAAATGAAGATAAATTTGTCATATATTGTTTTTATCTGATCTGATTTCATTGTACAGAGAAAAGAAGAAAATGAGTATCTGGAGTGGTTGAAAGGGGAAAAGGATGAACTGGCGGATGAAGAAGCTGCAGCAGAGCTAGTGAGTTTATAGCTAACTAAGAAAATGTTTGACAGTATTAGGATATACCATTTTTATTCCTTGATTCCTTGGTAAATGCATGAAAAAAAAAGTTACCATTTTGAAATACTAATTCATTTTTTTTTTTGTCGTTTAGGAAACCCAGTTTCCACTTAAGCATATTTTGTGATGGATTTTTTGGTTGTGCTTACCTCTTTTGTTTATAATCTTAGTTTAAATCAATTGTAATAATCAGAATCACAATTGAAAATTACCATTGTTAGTATCTATAGAGCAAAATCATGTGATTTGACATGCAGCCGTTGTCACTTAGGAACTAAGTTATTGACATTGTTTTATTTCTTTGATTTATATTATCATTGGAAATTATTAATTTTAAATTTAGATAACTGTATATACTTAAATTAAACTCAGTTTTTCATGAGTAAAGTCCCCTAGTTTTGGACTGGAAAATCCTGAAAAGTTAATAAAACCCTCTCATAATATGCCAGTTTAATCAATAAGGTGCTAAAGAATATCTAATCTAGGATAAGATTATGCTGGAGCTAAAAACAGTCGCACCATCTACTTCCTGTATCTTTGTTTTATGTTATGGGTAATCAAGAACTGAAGCGCATGAATTAAACATTTTTGAAATTCAAATTTTAGGAACACGACATTAATATTTTATTTTGAGAGGGAAATGAATAATTGGGGTGAGCGCAGATCTTTATTAATATTCAAAGCTTCTGGTAATTTATTCAAATTTTGTAGAGCATAGGGTAGACTAAGACAATATACAGTAATCATTTTATTATTCAATATACCTAGAGAAAATTATAAAAAATATCCCCAATAACCCACTTAGTTGCCAGAAATAATTTTTTGAAATAGCAGTTGTAATATCATTGGTTTTGATTAACCCTTAAAATCCACAGGTAGCCCATGCTTTTCTGAAAAACATTACTTTTCTTTTACTTTTATGCACAAAATATGAGAGAAATTTCTTTGTGAAATGATGAATTATCTTCAAATCCCTGTAAATTTTATTTTTGTGGAACATATAGGCTCCTCTAAAGGCATATTGGAATGATCCAAACTTAAGTGAAAAAGAACGTGTGTTAAGAGACTACATTTTAAACAATGGATATGTTGATCAGGAAGACAGGTGAGGAGAGGTTATGTTTTTTCAGATTTACTTCTCTTCTATTTTTGTCAAGATAAATGTGCTAACAGTAATGTTTGTTAATGAATTTACTTCCCTTCTATTTTTTCAAGATAAATGTGCTAACAGTGAGCTTTGTTAATGAATTAAAATTGCTGATGTATTACTTTAATTAAATGGAATGATAGGTCATAATTATTAAATATTGTTAAATAAATGAAATGATAGGTCATCATAATTACAAATTGTTATATTAATGAAGTGATAGGTCATAATTATTTCATATTGTTATAGTTACATAAATGAAATGCTAGGTCATATTATTACGTATTCATATATAATAATGAAAAAAGGTCTTAATTATTACATATTTTTAAATGAATGAAATGATAGGTCATAATTATTAAATATTTTGAAATAAATGAAATTATAGGTCATAATTATTACATATTGGACTTTATACTCAATTTATGTCTGCTTTTTATTAGTTTTTGTTGGGTATAGATAATAATAGATGTGCATTTCAATTGTTATATAAATCAAATGATAGGTCATAATTATTACATATTGTTATATAAATTGAAAATAGGTCATAAATAGTAAATATTATATAAATGAAATTATACATCATAATTATTACATTTTTGATATTCTGAATTTACATCTGCCCTCTTGTAGTTTTTATTAGGGGGATATATAATTAAAGACATATTATTCAATTCATACGTAATGATTGTACTTTTTAAAGATATTTTGTTAAAGGGAACCCCTTAAGTATAACATGTTTTTTTATTTTTATTACAGCAGTGATGAAAGTGATGTGGAAGAAAAATTACCGGGAATTCCCAACTTTGAGGGGGAGGAAGAATTTCTTGAAAGAGCAGAAGAATATGAACATAAATATAACTTCAGACATGAAGAGCCTGGGGGAGATGAGGTACAATGTCCAGTAGACTGTGTTGTCATGGCTATTTTTAATTTGATCTGTGAATTTTGGTTCATAAAGTTTTTTCTAACACAAGAAGAATTAACAAAAGAAATATTTATTTTAAAATGGCAAAATCATTTAAATTCATTTAATATTTAAAATAAACTGTGGTCAATAGGATATAACTGCTATATTACCCCCGAGGGGGCGCTTCTTATATTACTTGCTTTATGTGCTCTTGGTTGCCAAATGCGACTGGGTCAAGTAGATATGTTTGCATATGCATTAGTATAAACTGCTTAATGAAAAATTGTGTACACATGCATGCCGCATGCACATATATTTGAGACCCATAACTTCAAGACCATTAATGTTTTCACATTACACTGTGTAAATTTTGGTAATTTAAAAGAAAATGGAAAGTTAACATTTAAATAACTTAAAGCACTAATTTTCATTTTTAACTTGTATTTTTAAATATTTTTTTTTTACCATCAGATTAAAAGCTATCCTCGTGTAATTGAAACATCTGTTCGAATAAAAGACACAAGAAGAGCTGACCAAAGACAGAAGAAAATAGAGAAAAAGAGACAGGTAACTATTATTTTTCTAAGATTTGTTCAGGCAAAGTTCATATTGAAGCTTAGCCAAAAATTAGTATGAAACTAATTTGTTTAACACCTATAGGTACAAAGGAAATTTGTTCTAAAGGAGGTTTGTTCAAACGAAAGTTTGTTAAAATGGAAATAATGAAGAAAAAAACCCCAATAAAAATACATTTTAATTAAAATTTGACATTTTCCCCATTTCTCATTGGCACCTTGACTTACAAAACATTTTTAAAAAAATCGATACGATAAGATAACAATCTATTATTAATCCAAATAAGTGGAAATGTTTTATTAGATATGGTCAATGTAACGGACTATGTTTTCACATGTAAACAGAGAGGTAGCATGAGTGGACAGTGAGTGTGTTCACCAGGTTTTTCCACGGGGAGAGACAATCAATGTGGATTGTATTTTTGAGAACAAATGTGAACTCCACGTTTTTGGAGAGTAAAATTATGTTTTTGTCAGAGCGGTTGTTTTGCACGCTTTGCTGGTAATAAAGTATGAGTTGACTGAGATAGTAGAGAGCTGAGCGCAGAGCAGTAGAGTCAGTCAGTAGCGTGAGAGCTGTGAGATTAGACAGTTGAGCTGAGTTATAGTAGTCTGAGGACGTGTCTTTCTTAATGATGGAATACTATAGATATATATGTGAAATTACATTCATGCAAGGATTATTTATTAATATTATCAATATAAAGTGTGTTCAATAAAGTACTGTGAGTTTTAACTAGAATTGAGCATTCTTCTTTACGTGCCTGAATAATAAGTGAAAGAATGAAGAAGACTGAGTCGGCATCCTGAAGCGTTAATATAAGTAACCATACTACTGACATAACCCACAGCATAAGAAATAACATCCCACGCCATGTCAGAGTAGAAGTGTGTTACAGTCAATTATATATTTAATTTTAACATACGTCATTGTAGATGGGCTTAGGAACTTAACCACTTGTTCAGTTTGAAAATAAGCAGTGGCATTGAGACAATTTTACACTGTAATTTAACCTTCAAGGCTTCTAGGGATATAATCATTTGAAATTTTTACATTTAAGCTTAACATTAATCCAGTTCCCCAGAAATGGATCATGTCTTTAACAAAAAGACTACACATTATTTTGATGCATAAATATATTTTGACTTCTTCTTGAATGAAATATTGTTTAGCAAAAAGAACAGCAGAGAGAAGAGATTAGATTGCTACAGAAGCTTCAGAAGGAAGAGAGACAAGAAAAGCTGGAAAAACTCAGAAAAATTGCAAATAACCCTGAGCTGAATTATGACCTTGAAGCTGACTTTGATCCAGAAGAGCATAATAAAATAATGCAGGTGAGAGGTCAAAAGCTTTCTCATTGCTGTATGCTTAAAATTTGAGTATTTAATTTTTTTAATAATATTGAAACACTTTAGAAATTTGATTATTGAATTTCATTAATAACATTGAAACACTTTAGAAATTTGATTATTGAATTTCATTTATAACATTGAAACACTTTCGAAATTTGATTATTGAATTTCATTAATAACATTGGATAGATACTTTGGTCAAAAATGTAAAGATTTTTTAAAAATAAACCAATGGCACAGTTGAATAGAGCTAATTTTAAACAGAATTATAACACCAAAATCATATTTTTAGCTGTTGTAGTTTTAAAGTTATGAATTTTTAAAGTACGACTTGGTTTG